AGAATGACACAGATTTCGGTGTGAACACGTAGTTACCGATGTGGCCTTGTGGCCCCTATGCAAATTTCTGTATCGACCTAAAAACCCTAAACCCTAAACCCTAAAACCAAAACCCTAAACCCTAAACCCTTTAAACCCACCCTAAACCCTATAGACCCTAAACCCTAAACCCTTTAAGCCCTAGTCTAAATATGGAGGCCGCTCCAGTACGGGGGCTTTCCCCAGGCCCTGGGCTGTCGGCCTCAAATCTTGGAACCACACACCCGAAACCGACCCTGATACAGGGGCCTGAAGAATTACCTACACGATTTTAGGGGTTCCTTATTGTAACTATAGTAAGATATACCCCAAAACCCTGTTCGAATTATTAAGGCCCCTACATTAGGTGATCTGAGGAAGACAAAGGGGACACAGAACGAAGTCCGGAAGCCTAAACTCCGAATCCCAGGCCCTAAAGCCCTAAACCCTAAAACTAATTGTACCCCAAACCCCAAACAACCCTAAACCCTAAACCTCATTGTACCCCAAACCCTAAACCCTAAGTCTCTTTCTACCCCAAACCCTCAAGGTGTTTTTTCAGTGCCCCCCAAACCCTAAACCCTATACCCTAAACCCTAAACCTCGAACCCTCAGTCTCCCCTAAACCCTAAACCCTAAACCCTCAAGGTGTCTTTTCAGTACCGGCTGAAGTTTAACCAAGTCTTCGACCTCTACACAACTCTGGGAGCAGAATATGAGTCGACTCCTGGGCTGTGAAGTTCAGGGATTTTAAGGCTTTGGGTTTCAGGGTTCCGGGGTTTAGGGTTCCGGGGTTTAGGGTTTAGGAGTTCAGGGTGTAGGGCTTCAGGGTTTCGGGTTTAGGGGTTTTGGGGTTTCAGGGTTTCAGTCTGTTTGGGGTTTCAGGGTTTCAGTCTGTTTGGGGTTTCAGGGCTTTGGGTTTTCGGGTTTGGAGCTTTCGGGCTTCAGGGTTTTAGTGTTCAGGGTTTATAGGGCTCAGGTTTTCAAGGGCCGGCATATCGGAAAATCGGTTTTCCGGTTCTCGGACGGCTGACCCGAAGGTTCTTAGGGCTGATACAGTACGCATGTGTGGGTCCCAGACGCCTTCCCAAAGGATTCTAAGTGCCTATATCGGGGGGCACGTTCCCAAAACCCTGATAGCAATTCCTATCACAGAAACCCTACATTCTACCATATAAGTACTTAGGACCCTCCGGGCTTAAGTTGTTGCTGCGCAGTCCGGTTCAGTGTCCTGACTGGCGGAACAGACATGTGCAGTCTGGCTCTTGGCCTCCACTCATATGCTGCTTGTAAACCATCAGTATCTAAACCCTAACCCCTAAACCCTAATCCCTCAACCCTAAACCCTAATTCCCTAACCCTTAAACTTAAACCCTAAACCCTAATCCCTAACCCCTAAACCCTATATGTGAACCCTAAACCTAATTATTTTGATCCTGATCCTAAACCCCTGGGCCCCACCACCCGGGTGGATGTCCAACTCTGGGTTCCCAACCTATGAGTTACATAGGGCTCCCCAAAGGGACCATGATTTCGACAGTTGCCCACGTGAGGCCATATATAAGATAGAACCGCTGTAAGCAGCCCTTATTTATGTTCCCCTGAACCCTAACCCCTAAACCCTAAACCTTTCGGTTTAGGGGTTTGCTCTTTGTCGCAAGCCCTTCATATAAGGCCCTGAAGAGCCCCAAGCCCGGCCCAACCAAGCCCCCATCAATCCCCACCGTCATTATAAGACCCTGGGTTTAACGTTTAGGGCTTTGTGGCTGAAAAACCTACCTGATGTCATAGCACGCCAGCGAGCCCCAAACCCTACAAAACCCTAAACACCTCTCAGACCCTAAAGAACTCTGCCTAAAGATCTTAAACCCCAAAGCCTAAAAGACTCTGCCTGAAAAGCTCTAAACCCTAAACCCTAAACCCAAACCCCCAAAGAGCCCCAAAGGACACTTCTGCGCATGGCTATAGAGCAGCTGTCCACGGCAGCAACGACCCTCAGCTGCAACAACGGCTTATAGGGTTTCGGGTTTAGGGTTAGGGTGTGACCCTAAGGACCAGGATCATATAAAGGCGTTCCCCCCAAATCCCGGCATCCAAGAACCTCCTCAACCCTAAACCCAAAACCCTAAACCCTAAACCCGAAACCCTAAACCGTCGAACAAAAGCTTAGCATGTAGGGTTTTAGACTCGTTGGCATGAATGTCCAGGGTTCTACCTGTAGTCTCCATTGTAGTTCCTTTTTCTGGTTTAACCAATTATATATTGAGGGTTTTATAAGGTATCCCTCAAAAGGAACTACAATGGAGAGTACAGGTAGGATTCAGAAGTTTTGCGCTGCCGTGCTTCGGGGTTGTCTCCATTGTAGCTCCTGCCAGTTTGATAGTTAGGACCCTACAAAGCAACCCAAAGAAGGAGACCGTAGGCACGATCAAGGCCAAGACGGCCTAAGCAAACAAACGGCCAAAATCGGAGGGACCACAGTGCCCACTTCTTCTTCACGAACCGGACCGCTATCAGTCTTGGCCTCAGCGCAGATTACATGCTTCAAGGGCCTCTCAACCCCCGGAATTCCCAAGATTCCCATCCGAAACGTAAAGTTCTAGAGTGTTGCAGAATGTTTCTTGGCCTTGCGTTTTGGGGCTCCGGCAAGTAGCCCTTTTGTTAAAGCCTCAGGCCCAATTCAAAACGCCACACCCTGACTCCACGGACAGCTGCAGGCGTTTTTGAGAGTACATAACACTTCCGTACAATTCCTTCTAGGCCCTAAACCCTCAACCCTGAACCCTAAACCTTAAACCCAAAACTTTAAAGGTTCTTCATTTTACATCCTTTTGTTTGCGGTGGAGGAGTTGGAGGGCTCAGGATGATTCAGGTGCTTTCAGGTCTGGCAGTTTAGGGCTCTACTTAATGCTGCCTTTAGGGGTCGCACCCCCACCGGTTTTTGCAGGTACCGAAAAGTAGGGGGCCTAAAGAAAGGGCAGGGTATGACCTTAAAGGTACTACACCTTAAAGCCGTTTAGGGTTTAGGGTCTAGGACCCTACGCCCTGAACCTTAAGCCCATAGACCGTAGATCCTAAACCTTGGAGCCTAATCCCGGGAGGAGTCGGTTTCGGGATGTTGGGATTTAGGATTTAGGGGGTTTAGGGTTAAGGAGTTGAGGGTTTAGGCTTTAGGGCTTGTGTCTCTCATCTTCACAACTTCGTCTCCCAGACCTCTCAATGTCCCTTACTCAAGGGGTTTATAAACCCACAAACCCTAAACCCTCCTAAATGAGAGTAGGATCCCGAACTAGAGTAGCATCCCTCACATGAGTTCAGAGTGTACCTTAGATCAGAGTGGAATCCCTAGCGTGAGTAGCATCCCTAACCCCAAGGGTTCAAAGAATCCGACAATGGGGTAGGTAGGTTATGATTGGTTGCGGATAGTAGCTGTCTAAGTTACTTAATTTTTGGAGTTACTTGGACCCTAAGGGTAACATGATTTCAGGTATAGTCCTTGCTAAAAGACGTTGGGTCTAGGACTTAGGGTTGTTAGGGGTTCGGGTTCAGCGCTTTTGGGGTTTGGGGCTGGGGTAAGCCTTGATTTGGGCTTGGTAAGCCGTAGAATGGTAGACCCGAGGTGCCAAAAATGTGTAGTGTGAGCTCCTTCCTGAGAGTCCTAAACCCTAAACCCTACACCCTCCACTACTCGACGGTCTCAGCGGTTTCCCTTGACTCTCCAAGCAGTTAGGTGGCCTTGCCAGGTGCTGTGATGCATGATCGGCTGAACAAGCACCTCCAGGCTTGTCTCGTACGTCGCAGAACTGCCCTAAAGCCTACGTGGAAGTTCACGGGTAGTTTTAAGTGGAGTTATAAGTCTCCTGATATAGCTTATAACTATACTTATCCCACTTATAACCCTACTTCTAATAACTTTAAGTGGATTTATCAGTCCCCTGATATAGCTTATATAGCTATACTTATCCCACTTATAACCCTACTTCTAAGAACTACCCATGAACCTCTGAGAAAAGCCTGAGCCCTGAGACCCGGCAATCGCTTGGGTTTGCATCCGGGTTTAGGGTTTAGGGTTTAGTTTTTTGGTTTTAGGGTTTAGGGTTTAACTTAGACCAGCATACTTTAACGTAAAGCCGGCCCCAGGATTGATCAAAGCCCAGGTACGGCTTAAGCATTCAACCACACGTCCTAAACTCGAAGTGCCGAGCCCAAGACCCCGAATGCAGTCTGGCACCTGTATGTTGGGATGTGATATGTTTTGAAGGAACGGGAGACCCCAAATAGAGGCCCCACAGAATAGGATCCTAAAGCCCAAACCCGTAAGCAAACAAACACCAAACCTGCCCGCCCACCCACCTACAGAAATGCAAAGTGCTATCCCCCAACCCGTCCAGACAACAAAAAGCACAAACACTTATCAAGTTTTCAGCAATGGTTTGAAATGGTATGGTGTATGGCAAAACAGCTGATGATTAAACATATATCTACTGTTGAAACTGAAACAGTAGCAGACATTTCTGCAGAAACCCTCGTGTCGCTTCAATTTCACACGACATAAGCCCAAAACCCAACATCCTAATCCCTGAGCCCAAGCAAGCTCTAAACCCTAAGCCCTAACCAAACCCTGAATCCTGCACCCTAAACCCTACAAACTTCAAACCCTACAAATCCTAAGCCCCAAGCCCCTGAACCCTACAAACCCCAAGCCCTACCAATCCTAAGCCCGAAAACCCTGCAAACCTTAAGCCTCAACTCCAAAACCCAAACCCTAAGCCCTAAACCCTAAACCCCAAACCCTGCACCCCAAATTCTAAGCCCTACTTGGAGGTTCATGGGTAGTTCGAAGTGCAGATATGAGTCCCCTACTGTAGGTTATAACTTTAGTTACGCTACTTTGTTCAAAAACCCTACTTAGAACTACCCTTGAACCTTCAAGTAGGCCCTAAACCCTTAACCCTAAACCCTAAAATCCCTAAACCCTAAACCCTGAAGCCCTAAAGCCCAAAACCCTACACCCTAAAACCCTAAAACCCCTAAACCCTAAACCCCTAAACCCTAAACCCTAAACCCTAAACCCCAGAAACCAGGACCGGGCCTTCTCCGAGGTTCCCTTCTTTCAGCTCAGGCGCATGGTTTAGGGTTTAGGGTTTAGGGTTTATGGGGTGTAGGGCTTTAGGGCTTTAGGGCTTTAGGGTTTAGGGCTTTAGGGTTTTAGGGGTTATGGGGCTTATGGGGTTTAGGGTTTAGGGTTTATGGGGTGTCGGGCTTTAGGGCTTTAGGGTTTAGGGATTATGGGGCTTATGGGGTTGTGGGTTTAGGGTTTAGGTTTTTGGGTTCTAGGCCTCAGGCCCCCAATGAGGTCCGAGGGTACGGCCCTCGGGTTTTGGGCTTAGGGCTTTAGGGGTTAAGGGGTTTAGGGGTTTTGGGGTTTAGGGGTTTTCGGTTTAGGGTTTAGGGCTTTGGGCTTAGGGCAGACGGGTTTAGGGGTTTAGGGTTTTCGGGTTTTGGATGTTGGGTTTTGGGTAGTTTGACGGGTGTGGTTTAGGATTGAAAGGAACTTGTGCGTCGAAATGGGTGGTAGCAGTGAGGATCTACGCCGGGGGGGCTGCATGGAAGGCGGCCTTTTGAACATACCGGTTAGAGATGTTGCTTCTGGGTCATTGACTCGCTCTGTTTTCCATATCTTGACTGCTTGAACTCAAGTTTGATTGAGGTGGGCTTGGAAGAAATGCTACCTACACACCGTAGTTCCTGTCCTTTTTTGCGTTACCCTATAGGGTCCTAAATATACAACAGGTTGCGTGGAGACCAATTATAGGCAGTTGCTCAAACGCATCTCATCGTTTACTTTTAATTGAAGTGGAGAAGAACAATCTGCACTTCGGGATCTTGGGTAGAAAGTAAAGGCCCCAAACCCCTCAAGCCTGAAACTCCTTTGTTCTGTCGTGTAGGTTCTAGGAGTTTAGGGTTTAGGGTTTAGGGTGAGCCTGTCAGGACCGTGCATTTACCTTCTGAGTTCGAGGAGGCGATCCGTGAGACGCAGCTGAAGCAGCAGGAAACTCCCGGACCATAGAAGCCTAAATAATTACCAACATTATATTCCCAAGGGTTCCTTATTGTAACTATACTTTAAAGGAGCCCCACAACCCTATTCTAATTATTAAGGCCCCTACATTAGTTGGGCTTAGCGCTCACCTAAGCCGCCAATGTCCCGATAAGCAGACGGGAGATGCCCATGGATCGCATGCCGCCGAACCTTAAACCCTAAACCCTAAACCCTAAACCCTAAACCCTAAACCCCATCTCAAACCCTCCCTGGACACCAAAAGACCTACCCTTCAAGGGACTTAGATAAAGAACTCATACCAAAGGAACCCTAAAAAAGCCAGGCTTTATGGGCTAATCCCTAAACCCTACACCTTAAACCCTAAACTCCTAAACCCCTAAACTGCCCTAAACCCCTAAACCCTAAACCCTAAACCCTAAACCCTAAACCCTAAACCCTAAACCCCTAAACCCCTAAACCCTAAGGTCGAGGCTAGGAGCAGTCAAAGTCGAAGGGCTGAGGCTAGAGCGACCAGGCGTCCGATGAAAGTCTCTGAGCGTAAAGGCGCATATTCCGGGCCCTTGAACCGTAAACTTTCAGGGTTTAGGGCTTAGGGTTTAGGGGTTTAGGGGTTTAGGGTTTAGGGGTTTAGGGGTTTAGGGTTTAGGGGTTTAGTGGTTTAGGTGTTTAGGGGTCTAGGGTTTAGGGCTTAGGGTTTAGGGTTTAAACCCGAAATCGACTTCGGGGTGTAGCCCCCCTAAACCCCTAGGTTCCCCAGTAGTACCCTTTTGCCCTTTTTCTTTTTGGGTTCCATTATTAAAACCAAATAGCGGGAAAAAGGGTACCCTTATTATTAAGGGGCTACTGGGGAACCTAGACCCTAAACCTGAATTTCTTAGGATGAAAGATCAAAGCAATCCCTTGAAAACGCTGACCGGGGAAAGAACTACCAATACTTAGGGTTTAGGGCCTTAGGGCCTTAGGGCTCAATTATGAGTATGAAGACTACCTATAGTGTCCATTGTAGTTCCTTTTTTTTTGGGTTTAACCAATTATACATTAAGGATTCTATAAGGTATCCACACAAAGGAACTACAATGGAGACGACAGGTATGCTACTATTTATAATATACGCCGGAACCCCATTCCAAGAAACCCTAATCCCTAAAGCCCTTCAAGCCAGCCAAAGGTGCTTTCGGCAATGAAAGGCGGCGTTGTTTTTGTGTTTCTACTGTTGACGATATAAATCCCGCATTACCTGGAGGACCCTGCACTAATGGAATTCGGTATATTCCTCATTATGGGTAGTGCAGGATTTATATCATCAACCGTATGTTCAGGTCTGTTCAGCTCAAGCCGTTTAAACCTGAAGCCCTGAATCAAAAAAACCCTAAACCCTAAACCCTAAACCCTAAACCCAGACTCACGCCCCTAAAATCCTGAAGCCCTAAAGCCCGAAACCCTAAACACAAGCTCTAAAGCCGAAACCCAAGCCTGAAACCCTAACCAATAAATGTAAGGTAAGCCCCAAACGCTAGACTCTACATATATATATATATATATATATATAATTATGTATACACATACAGATCTATATATATATATATATACAGAAGCCCTAAACCTTAAACTCGCCGTTTAGCCTTAGCTGAATCAGTATACTGTACACTATTTGGGATAACAATACCGCAGATCGGAAAGCTTAAACCTCGAGCAACTCCACAAACTCAATAGCACGGCACCGCTTACAAAAGGGACCCCGAGAGGGAATCCCGACCCTACCCTAAGCCGACTGCAGGACATCCAAATTGCTGGCCTGGAGCAGAAGACGAAAACCGTCACTTTCAAGACTGGGCTTCGGGCTGGATATAGGGGCCTTAATAATTGCCAGTACTATGTTGGGGGGGTTCCTTATTACAACTATGGTAGATTATACCCCAAGTGTGCCTTAATTAGCTGGCTAAGGATCCATTGGTCGCTCTCACTCGGATTGTCCGCAGACTGCTTGCATGAAGTGGATTCCCATAAAGCTGAAATACTCTACAAGACCCCTATAAAATCTTGATGTGGCTCTATGTACATATATATATATATATAGAGAGAGAGAGAGAGAGCCTGGTAAAAGCCGTTGATAACTTCATACGAAACACCTGAACAATCCTACAAAGCCCGCGAAGACCCTTGTTATAAACTATTTTCCAGGGGCACCTACTTTTCTGTACCCATAAAAACAAGGTACCCTAAAGAAGGGCTAGGGTATGACCCTCTAGGCAGAACGTATGGCCCTCTCGGCAGAACGTAAACCCTAAACCCTACACCGTTATGACCCTCTACTTGGAGGTTAATGGGTGGTTATAACTCCACTTGTATATATAAGTCCCCGAATATTGCTTACACCTATAGTTACCCTACTTATAACCCTACTTATAACTACCCATGAACCTCCAAGTTTATAAAGATGGTTGAAGGTATATTCAAAAGCGGTGACGAACGAAACTGGGGGAGGAGTGTATGCAGACATATATGTGGATCCATACACTTCTTGGCCTTACGGACATAGATAAATATGGGTACATAGATCTGGACATAGATATAGATGTGTATATATATATATATACATACATGTGTTTGTGTGGGTGCATCGATATAAACATACTGTAGGTGTGTATATACATATATACATGTATATTAGTTTACATCTATCTATCTGTATATATATATATATAGATATATATACATAGATACACATACAGTAATGTACATATACACCCTACACACACACACGCGCGCGCACAGAGGATGTGGACCTATTCAGGGTTTCGAGTAACATGCAGCCCGAAGCCAAAGAAAGCGCAGGACCCGCGTACTGCAGGCGGAGCAGGAAGTGAAAGTTCTGATCAACCAGGCTCGGCGGGCTTCCAAACAGTCATCTTCGGACCCCCCTGAACCCTAAACCCCTACTAGACCCTAAACCGTGGCTCAGGCTTGTGGTAGCTCTTGGCCCTCGTCATGTGCCCTAGGTTCTAAGGTGTCAGGGGTGTCCGGCTCCAGGTTAGGGTGTCCAGTAATGCAGAAGTTTGGGGTATAGGGCCCTAAATAGTTACCTATACTATTGCGGGGGGTTCCTTATTGTAACTAGAGTGTAGTATACTCCCTCAAACCCTATTCTAGTTATTAAGGCTCCTATATGAGATGTTATCTAGGGCCTGTAGTAACCCAGGGGTCCATGTACCCCAGTATTGTAGTAGATGCTTTGGCCCCAAAGTATCTGTGTTGGGACTACTTGAAGGCCAAAGCATATACTACTGGGGTACATGGACCCCTAAACCCTAAACCCCAAACCCTAACGCCCTCACAGAACCCTTAGAGTAACCCTTATAGAACCCCAAACCCCTGAACCCCAAACCCTAACAGAACCCTTATAGGGTCACTCTAATAGTCCCTGAAGAGGCACTTGGAGGTTCATGGGTAGTTACAAGTAGGGTTATAGGTACGGCAGCTATAGATATAACCTATATTAGGGGACTTATAACTCCACTTATAACCACCCATGAACCTCCAAGTAGACCCTAAACTTAAACCCTCAACCCTAAACCCTAAACTCCCAAAACTCTAAACCCTAAACCCTAAACCCTAAACCCCACTCATGAACCTCCAAGTAAGTCAGGGTTGGGTGGTGCGGTCTTGGGCTTCGAGAAGTCGAGCCCTTCCAGTCGAGTCAAATCAAGGGACTCGAGGCTGAAACTGTTTCGGGATTTTGGGTTTAGGGAATTGGCTTTAGGGCTTGGGTTTTGGGTTCTGGTGTTTAGGGTTTAGGGGTTTAGGGTTTAGGGGTTAGAGGTTTTGGGTTTAGGGGTTTAGGGTTTGGGCTTCAAGCTCCACAGGAACTGCTTTAAACTGAAAAACTCGAGGGCTCCAGCTACCCAAACAAGGGGTGACTGGGCTACACTGCATGGGTAGAAACCTATCATTTCGGCAACGGCAGCCTTCGGGTAAGTACAGACCCGAAACTCCCCAGCTTTGACGCTAAGCAATACCATGGTCAGTGGCGTTTCTTTGTGGAGCTAAGAGCGATCCCTACAACGGCACGGAAAGATCCGAAACGTCTGAGGCTAGTCCAAGAATCCCTGCAGCTTAGGACAAAATACAAGCTTGAGCACTGCAGTTCTAAACCTGCATGCCCTAATCAGTTAGTCCCACATAGTTCCCCTCAACACCTGAAATCGTTCACCGTGTTCAGCTTCGCTTCACTTAATGCCTTGAGTCGTCCCAGAGCCGAAGGAATCAAGGACCTTTAGAGACAAGTTGTTGGTTTTCGCAGGAGTCTCTCACAGCACCCACCTTACCCATGATCAAAAGATTGCCCTCCTATCCCTAGCAGGCGGAAGCAGAAGCAGCGAGTATCAACGCAACCAACAGGGCGTACTGCCGTCAGTACAAGGCGGCGTAGGGCTTCGAGTGAATGGCAGATCAGCGGGTTGGCCTTCAAATTCTAAGGAAAGGCAGCATCAGTAAGAGTAGCCGTTGTCGTTGTCGTCGCAGTAGCAGCAGCAGCAGCAGCAGGAGGAGGAGGCGGAGGAGGAGGAGGAGTAGTAGTAGTAGTAGTAGTAGTACAGGCATCGTTTCAAGGCATTGTTACAGTAATCTCATCATGATTATCAGGGCCATGATAGTTCGCTATCCTGGAATACAGTGATGCCAGCATACTCGCCAGATTCACTCGTAAGGCCCATGGACATCCTCAATACATTAACACCATGACTCGGGGTTGTGAGGACACACGGGTGGTGGCAAGCTGTGACTCTGTGGTCCCTCATTCGCTTCTTTTGCAGGGAAAAATGGTCGTTTCTTGCAAGTCCAGGGCTTCAGTCTGCGTTTTGGATGGCTTTTCACTTCCCAGTGCAGAGAAGCGTCAGATTCGAGCAACTCTTCGTGGGCCATATCGCATCGTCAGCTTGCATGTTGAAGCACGCGGCACTCGGCAGGTGACGCAAGATCTCCAGACCAGCAGCTCTGCTGACATTACCCTGTACATCCCCAGCTTTAGCACTCATGCCCAGGAAGAGCAAGCACCCAAACTTACATGTGTGCAGAACCTAAATCGATTTTGTCTGCTGCGATGGGGGGATCCAAATGCTGGGGCGCCGACATCTCGAAAGCAACACTACAACGACCGTGGATTGCAGCACATTTGTTCGGGGCAGCCTTTGAATTGTAAGGCGAGACCCTACTACAGTGTCCAAGATCTAGGTAGAGCCCAAAAGCCTCACCCCCGAGAAGCCTTGCGTGAAATGTTCGATTCGAGTTCTCCGAACAGAAACCTTATAAACCTGATCAACTCGTTTTGGTCTCGGTCGTCTCAATTGCGAAGGCTTAAAGTCCAACATGTGGAATGCAGAGTCTCTAGATGAGTGGGTGGTCCCTTCTCATGCCCAGGGGGCAAGGGCAAAGACTTCCGCTGACTGTTATTTGGGAGTCTGTTGCCCCGGGGCTGAGGTTTAGGGCTTTAGAGGTTCTGATTCCAAGCCTGTTTAAAGCTCTATTCTCAGATGCGTCAGCAAAACCATAAAGGAGCCACCAAAAACACGTAAGATGGGGGGGCGTAAATGATTGCATCTACTATTTTGGGGGGTTTCCTTACGAGATGTATAGTGTCATCTGCCCCCAAAACCTTATTCTAATTAGTAAGGCCCCTATATTAACTCAGCCACTCAAGCACCATTGAAGAGCCTCTGCGTGTCTACCCATGTGTACTGCATTCCCACAGGGCCCTAGGTACCTATATGGGGGATACTCGCCCAAACCATTATAGTAGTTCCTGTTGTAGAAACCCTACATTCTACGATGTGTGAGTTTCCGAAAATAAGGGGGGACCTTCTCTTCAGGTCCTTGTAATAAGGATGCTACTGTTTTAGGGTACTATATTAGGGTCCCCTATTTTCGGAAATCCCCATATAGGCACGTGGGACCCTTTGGGATTCGCCCTGTCAGGGGGAGTTCCTTGAGCGCTCAGGCTTTGGCTTTGGCTTGGGCTTGGAAAGTTATCCTACACGCTTACAATCCTCAACACTTCCTCTGCAAGTCAAGATCCTGAAGCAACCAGGTGCAAAAGACTCTGCAGCGAATCAAGATGAACACGGGGCCTGTGCCTACAGTTTCTGGTTTGGGTCATTCGGAGCTGAGGTGCTTTGTCTCAGATGGTGGCAGCATCTGGCTGGGATGTGTCGCAGCTTTTGGACTACATGCGCCTTTGGGCTTCAATCATAGGGACCCTTCAGGCGGGTAAGGGGCAACTGGGGTGTAGGGGACCATACTTCCTTAAAGTAGGCCTTCTTCGGTCCTTTTAATTTTCAAGGCCCCCTACCCCCCATCGAAGGGTCCTTATGACGTGAACTCTGAGACCGGAGCCTTCCGAAGCCACGTAGCTTCGGGTTGAGGGTCTGGACTACTTGGACCATATGGGTAATTCTCGAAATTACGGTCCCTTATTTAGGTCCCCAATGTAGTACGGCACCCTTAAAAAAGGACCCTAAAAGGGACCCTAATTCCCAATATGAAACCGACCCACAATGGCCTTCAGAAGTGTCAGCTTTATGCTCGAAGATTGGGATCTTTAGGGTTTACCGTTTAGACTTATGTTATCTGGGTTTAGGGTTTAGGGGGCTACAGGTCCAGGTTTAAGGGTGTAGGCTTTAGGGTTTGTTTAATGCAGGGCACTCGGACCCTAACTGTGTAGACCAGTTGCCTGCGCGACAGGTAAAGTCCGTTTTCTTACCATAGTACAGGCGTAAGTTGGCCACATGGACATGGGAGTTTCAATAGTTACAGTAGGACCTTACATGTAGAATCCCAAGACTAGGATCCACAGTTGAAGGACCTATAGGTAACTGTGCCTCAGCCCAAAACAAAAAAGTCATAAACTCCAACAGACCTACCCATTGGCCCCATGGTAGTTCCCTCTTGGGGTTCATACTTAAAACCCTATAAGGTAATCCCAAAAAGGAACTACTATGGGGCCTATGGGTACACCCTGAAAGCTCTAAGCCTTAAAGCCCTAGCTCCTCAGACGCAAAAGCTGGGACTCCCGAGGCAAGTTAGGGTTTAGGCTTAGTGTTTTTGGGTTTAGGTTTTAATAAGGCCCTATAAACCCTAAAACCTAAACCCGAAATCCCCAACCCTAAAACTTTTAGGGTTGGGGATTTCGGGTTCAGGCTTTAGGGTTTATAGGGCTTAGGTGAGCCAGGACCTCAACCCACACTCTGAAGCCTACAGAGATAAAATCTAAGTTGTAGGCGCAAGCCCCCGAAACCGCAGAAGAACTAAACCCCTAAATCCTAAACCCGCACGCACTTCTGACGCGAAGCACTCCGTCTCAGCCCACTCAATCGGTTTGCATCAGGTTGCTGCGCTGTGTCACTCAGGGCCTAATTACAAGACAAAGCTACCTAAGTCCGACCTGGACCCCGCAGAGCCGACATCTTTGAGGACTTACACAAAGAAACCATAACACAAGGAGCTCTGCAGGTGATATCTGATTCAGGTAAAGCCTACCTAGAGGCTCATCCCCTACTCCTTTTCTAGGGTACCCAGTTTTCCAGATCGCAGATCCTTAAACAAAGGAAGCAGGTATCCTCCTAGAAGGGTGGGGTATCAGCCTCTAGGTAACCCTAAGGGTCCAAAGGACCCAGTGTAAGGTACTTGGGTTTAGGATAGTAGTTTTGTAGGTTACTATTTGGGAGAGTATATGAGTATTGGGTGCTTGGACCCACCCTAAACCCTAAACCCTAAACCCTTAGGGTAAGGCACGGCAGAATCCAAGGAGTGCGTGCATTTCGCGGCCATCCAGCGGAGAAGAGATCCCCGGCTGTCCCAATTGCAAAAAATGCGATGATGATATAGATCCTGCATTACTTTAAGGACCCGAAACTATCGGAATTAATTATGGTATATTCCTTAAACTATGGGAACTAATTATGGTATATTAGGTTTAGGGTCTAGGGGTTTAGGGTTTAGGGTCTAGGGATTTAGGGTCTAGGGTTTCGGGCATTACCTCAAGGACCCTAAACTATGGGAATTCTGGTATATATTCCTTATCATGGGTAATGCAGGATCTATATCATCAACCGAAGGTGCCCAAAAGCTTAGTAATACGGTTCCTTAAGTCCTTAAGTTCCTTTGAGTCCCTTTCTATATATATATATATATATATGTATAGTACATATTATATATAATGACCATTACACCGTAGTGGGGTTTAGGGTCTAGGCGTAGTTACACGAACAATGTACCCCTATAAATTTAGAGGCAGCGAACAGTCGCAGAATTCTTAGCCTTAGGGCCTTAGCGCACAAGTGTTAAGCATTTTGGGTTTACAGTTGGCGAGTGCTTAGTCTAAAGGAGAAGCTGTGACTCCTGGAACAGTTTCTGCTGCAGGTAGGGTTTAGGGTCTGGGTTGGCTGTGTAGTAGGTATATGGGTAGTGTTCTAAATCAGGGTCCCTCTGGGGGGTCCTTTTATACGGGTGCCGTACTATATGGGGGACCCAAAAAGGGGCCCCAATTTAATAAACTACCCATATGGCATTAAATTATGAAGTTGGCACCACGGTCCTATTTTCAATTTAGGCGGGTTTTCCCACGGAAGTCTGAGCATCCACATGGTTCACCAACAGTAAGTAAAGTTGATGCTGTGGATGCAGGAAGGCGGCTTATGCTGCTATATACAAGACACCTAACCCCTTTGGCCCAAGGCTCCAAACCATAAAGCCTAAACCCATTTCTCTCCTCCACCCCCCACACCCCGAAGACATGCACACACCCAGAGAGCATAAATAGCACAGGAAGCCATGTTAGAAGAACCCTAGACCTGAAACCCGTGCACCTCAAACCCTAAACCCTATCCCCTATAGGGTCCAAGTACCTAATAATCATATACCCTCCCAAATCGTAACCTACATAACTACTATCCGAAACCTAAGTACCTGATTATTGGGTCCTTTGGACCCTTGGGGTACCTAACCCCTAAACCCTAAACCCTAAACCCTAAACTCCTAAACCCTAAACCCCGAAACCGAAG